ATGTATAGAGCTGGCTAGGAAAGTATTGTACCCACTCAACTGGCTTTAAGCAGTGCAGGTGCATCCAGTGGGCCAAGCAGACAGCCAGTTGGCTGTTTACTATGGTGACTTCAGCTCCTGGGCCCATCGATCCCATTTAACTTAACAGTACAAGTAGGTCTGTGAACCGAAACGTCCTGGGGGAGGAAACTTCTTTGCTTAAAAGCTCATTTCTAACCGAGTTTTATGAAGGGTTAAGGGCAGGAGTTGGCTGAATTTGTGAAAAAGCAAGACCTGAGCAATCAAATCACCAGATTCCACCACCCAACTGCCAGTAGAATACAGCGCTATAGATACTTCCTGGTTACAGTCCCCATCTATTAGGGTTGGTATTACAGTAAGGCCTTTAGAAATTAAGCTTGTCTTTCTAATAACATCTCTTCGCTTTCTTCCAGGAGGGCCATAGATTCCAGTCGATATTAAAATAGGCTTTTCTCCCCCAATAAATGAATGTGAGCTGGGGAGATAGCTCAGCAATATAGGCGCCTGCCTGGCAAGTGCAAGGTCCTGAGTTAGTTCCCCAGTACTGCAGAAAAAATTGAATGTGAGAAGCTGCTGGTAAATTTAATCCCGCACTCTGGTTGGTCCATTATATGAGGAATGCGAGGTTGTGCCTTGCGCCCATCCCAGTAGAGGGACTCTTCTTTGTCTGGTTTGGGCTGGATATAGCTAACTCAACTGGGTCTAAGTCATCGGAGTACTGGTTGACCAATCCACCATTGTTTGCTGGACCCCGGAGGTGTGGGCCACTGACCCATTCCCAGCAAGAGTCTGCCATCTTTATGATACTGAGATTTAGAATCTTTTGCCTGATAGAAGCCTTCATGCCATGCAGGTATGGATTAGGTGATAAATCAGGACCTGGCCTAGTAGCTACCTGTTCAGCTGAAGGGGTTGGCACCTTTGGAGGCATTGGGCAGTGCCAGCAGTGTGTCCCTGTTCGCCAAAATGAAACATATAATCACACTGAATTTAGTGGCAAGATTTGGGACTATAGGGCCAGTGAGATAGCTCAGTGGTCTAAAGCGCCTGCTTAGTCAAGCTTAGGCAAAGTGTAGGGACCACAGTTCGATCCTTGGCACTACATGCCACACTAGCCCTGCCCCCAGGGTGGGCTGAGCTGGCCCAAAAAAAAAAAAAAAAAAAGATTTGGGGATATAGCCTGTGCCAGGAGCACCAAAGTGTGAGTAGTAGGTTGACATCTTGGCAAGCACAGCAGTAAGCAGATATACCTTTAGTATGAAAAGTAGAGGCTAAGACTCATTTACACTGACTGTTGGCCTTTGCATGTGCTAGTTGGCAAATGAGAATATCAGCCACCTTGTGAAAAATTGGCCTAGTCACCGCGTCTTTTTTTTTTTTTTTCTTGGCAGAATGAGGGATTGAATTCAGGCCCTTGCACTTGCCAGGGAAGTGCTTGTTCCACTGAGCCATCTCCCAGGCCATTTTTTTTTTTTTTCCACTGCCTCTTGTAACCATGCCACACACTGAGCATAAGGTTTCATAGGCTCCTGTAGTACTTGGGTAAGAGATTTGTCAGTTGCCATCTTCTGGGACAGAAATCTAAGCACAGCCCTCAAGTTCTTATACTCCATACAGAGAAGCATCGGCGCACGTGCTTGTACTTTAAGTCAGCATCCACCTGTGCCTGATAACATTGCATCTATCATAGCTGTAAGATATTCATCCTCGAGCCGGGGAGATGCTCAGTAGAATAAGCACTTCCCTGGAAAGCACAAGGACCTGAGTTCAATCCCTGGTTCCACCAAAAAAAAAAAAAAAAAAAAAGATTTTCATCCTCACTAACCTGATTAATCTGTGCCAATCTGATGTTAGTGCCCTTAACTGTGAATCAAAAGGAGCTATTGTGCCCATGAGAAGCAAATGCGAGCAGGTGGCTCAAATCTCCTGGCACCAGTTGGATCCTCGTGTTATATTTTCTAAGCAGCATAATGTATAAGGACCTTGGACACCAGTGTCCACAACACTTTGTCTCAACTCTTTTAATAGTATGAAATGAAAAGCAGGATGTGCATTGCATTTCCAGTTAGGGCTTTCAGGATCTGTGTCTTCAGTGACCAGAAAGCACATGGGCCGCGCACAGCTAACCACATCGTGGTGTTTCTGCTGTCTTGGTGAGGGGGAGGAGGGGGTCTTCCCTGAGCTGACTCGGGTACTGGGGAGGCCTTTGAGCAGGAGGTGGAGCGAACATTTCCTAAAAGCGAAATTAGTTGATCAGCTGAACTTTTTTTTTTTTTTTTTTTTCAGCTGAACTTTTTAAACAAGCTTCATTTTTCTTCTGCAGCCCACATGGAGGCATGTCACTGTGGCAACCTGACTGGTAGTTTATGTTCTGTCAGGCCTTCTTTCTTCCTCAGTTACCTGCCATACTCCACCGTGTCTCAGCAGGAGAGTTCGACTCTTTTGTTAAGGATGTCTGTGGCTGGTCTGCTTTCTTTGCCCAGTGAGCTTGCAAAGACAAAAATACCAATTTAATGGTCTCGGGGAGCTTTTTTGTCCCGTGTTTTAGGGGTTTGTTTTGTTTTGTTTTAATATGCTTTTATTTTTTCCATAATTTTATTGAGAAACAGCAGTGAGACAGTTTCAAATCAAATTGGTAGGACAGTTCAATAATTAACACATTGCATACTCTCTTCCTAGTGGTTATTTGCTGTACAAGATGGAGGCATGATATAGTGTGTAACAGCTTTTAAAAACCTAAAACATGATAAATAGGATTTCGTGTTTTAGGTTTTTAAAAGCTGTTACACACTCTGTCCCAGACCAGCAGACTGAGAGCTCCAGCTTTGGGAAAGGAAGGATAAAATTAATTATCTGATTGGGTAATGTAACCTTTCTATATGAAACATGCATTGCTGTACCTTGGAATCCATTGGCTGAACTGTTCTTCTGCAAATAAGGAAGGTGACTGGCCATTGTCACCCTTGATGCCGCCTCACATCTGAGCACTGCCTTAGGAGAAATGCTGGCTTAGGCATGCTCCAGTGATTGCCAACTCCTGATTCTGGATAGTGGCGGTTGTGAGTTTAGGCCCTCGTTGGGTACCAAATATAGGAAGCCCGTCTGGTCCTCGTCATGGTCAGGCGGAGTTGATAAAGTGTAATCTCCAGGAAGAGTTATGGAACTTCCCCCAAGTCGATTCTGGCCTACCACTTCCAGTGCAACCCACGATGCACATAGAGACAAAGACATACCTGCAGTGTGGGGAGCCAAAGGAATCCTAAGTCCAGTCGGAACAAAGGCCACCATGTAGGGCCGAAGCCGGGTTTTATTAATTCATGAATTGGAGAGTGGCTCAGGGTTGAGTGACTGTGAGAATGGCAAGAACTACGTCAGTCCTGCAAGCTGGGCTGGTAGGAGGCACGGTAGCAGCTCTGTGATATGCGGAGATCTGCAGAGAGTTCCGGGTTCCAGCAACAGGGAGCTTCTTAGTTTGGAGGAGGCTGAGTAACACAGCTGGAGGAAGCGTCCTGTGTTTTGGGTCAGCTGCTTCAGCTCTGATGTCTAACTTCGCTCACCTTGGACCCTCCCCCCGTATGCCCCCCCCCCCCATTCTCAGGCTCAATCCCCACAGACAGTGCAGTCTCTCAGCCTCCCTCACTCACACTTCTTGTGGGGGAGGGGGGTGCTGCAGGCGGGGCGTCATTAACCTGTTCTTTTGCTCCAAAGGCCACACAGCAGCACCTGGGCTAGACTCTTTGCATTTTTGCTCCAGTTGAGGGTGTAGAACATTTCCCCAGCCAGCTCTGTGTGAATCAGAACTCTCGGAAGTAGGGCGAAGGTGAATCACAGTGGAGGCAAATTGTCTTCTTTCAAGGGGTGCAGGCTCAGTGGTCCCCGCACTGTTACAGCCTCCTGCATTCATTCATTCATTTATTTATTTATTTATTTATTTAGCATTTCCGGGGATTGAACTTGAACTCAGTACCCTGTGCTTGCCAGGCAAGCGCTTATTCTACTAAGCTATCTCCCCAGCCCAGCCTATTGCATTTAAATCACTCTGTATTCATGAAAAGTGCCTCTGGAGTATCATGGGGACCTCTGATTGGAGGAGGGCCCCAGGGGCATGGAGAAAGGCCACTCTGGTCCCATTTTCTCTGAGGAGCTTCAGTATAGTGCTGCCATGCAATCCTGCCCGCTCAAGAGTGCCGGCCTGGCCTGGCAAGTAAAAGGCTCCTTTGTGAAAATGTTTTCAGATTTAAATGGGCACTAGAGATGGACCCACCAGTCTTTGGGGAATTCAAGGCTCTTTACAGGGAAATCAAGCCTTAGCGGAGGGTCTGAGGGTGGTCAGAAGCGTGGGAAGGGCCTGCAAATAGACCGCAGGCTGGAGTTGCTGCCTTCCACGTACGTGGCGGACACCAGCTCTTCTAAGACAAGAAGGGCAGGCAGGCTGAGTGCTGCCTTTATTCCCTCTTTCCTTCCTTCATAACGGACCTGTCTGGTGCAATGCCTGCGCTGACCGAGGAGTCTGGCTTTGGCGTCTGCATTCATAACATCCTCTGGCTTGGTTTGTGGGGGCCTGGGGGCAGCAAGCCAGCAGTGGCATGCACCAGTGCCAAACCCTGATGAGGCCACTGTCCTCACCGCACAGGGTCCACGGGGAGCTGGAAAGGCCCCATGAGATAGACCAGCCTTATGACCAGTCCTGTTCCGGTCCCCAGACCTTGTTCTTTCTACATGATCTATTTCTTAATACTAAAGTAAAGTCTTTTTCTCTCTTTGGTGCTGGGGATAGAATCCAGAGCCTCTCCTGCTGAGCACACAACTCTGCCACTGAGCTACATTCCTGGTCCCGTGAAGACTTCTTTATGCTACATACTGCATGTTCATAGATGTGAAAAGGATAGAGAGGTAGCAGAGCACAAAGCAATCGGTGGCAAAGGACTGACTTCGACTGCTTTTATTTTCCTCCTGCTCTCCTCCACCTGAACTCCTAGAGCGGTGTCCTGACGGTTAAGCTGGGTGGAGACCTGGGAACCTACGTGATCAACAAGCAGACCCCAAACAAGCAGATCTGGTTATCTTCTCCCTCCAGGTAAGTGCAGAAATCAGAATCAACACTGTGGGAGGCTGAGGCAGGAGGATGGGAAGTTCAAGCCCAGCTTGCACAGTTTAGGAACTTAGACGCTGTC